TATCGCCCCTTAAACTCTTCCCACCCCCGCTGTACCCGCATGCTTGGAACCTCTCATCCTGTAACCTTACGTCAGCCTCCCTTTAATTGCCCATAATATCATCCATTGGATAGTGCCGCCACCGTCCCTCGCATAACAACCCCATAATCTATCCTCCAAATAGTTAGCAAGCCATATTTTTAAAGAATTGTTTCGTTTTCCCTTCCTTTACGTTATATTGCATTAATTCCGTTTTTAGCCGCACTTCCCACCACATCACACATCCTCTACCGCCATTTATCTCTGCACGTAACCCCTCCACAGCGTTGAATATCCCTCTATCCCTCCTCATCACTAACACTCTTGTATTTTAATTTCAATAACCCCTAGACTATACTGCTAGTGACTCCCACGCACCTTCTGCTACCTACAGACTGATGATCCGAATAAGCTATTTCTATTGTACGGAAAAAATGTCAACCCAACCCCTGGAGATATATACAGCCTATCCAACAAGCGTGTAACCCGATCTTACAAAAGTGTGTCTTGACCTCCAACGCCCCTCCTCCAACCGCATCCCGCAACTGAATATCCCTCAAAAGATCTCGCAAGGCCGCCGACACGTGCCCGCCCCTTTTAGTTCCACGTCAGCCCTAATAACGCCTGTTCCAGTCCCCACCTACGACGGCCTCTGCAGGTAAACCCACTTAGAAGCAAACTAGTTCTTCACTCACTAAATCCTTTTTACCCTCAATCATTTTCTGCTGGTGCATACCACTTACAAAAAGATACTCTGCCCCTATCATCCACCCATCCACGTGCAATAATCTTTCCCCCCTCCCCCCTCACTTTCTTAGCAAACACAAACGGCTTGCCTCCCTGATTATATATAGCCATCCACCTCACTTTCAGGACGTGCAGATTGGCAGAGTCATGACCTGAAACCCTCCACCTTCGAGCATCTTCCCTCTTGAAATTGTGTTCTGCAGGAACAACTACATTTCCACCCTATATTTATACAGAAACATTCGAAAACCATTACTTTCTATTCCACACTATTACACAGTCCATTTGTTCAGACAGTCTTAACACCTAAGGGCATCTTTATAGTTCCAACCCTTCCTCCTCTCTCCTTTCATCCCTGGGCCTCCTGCCCAGAGCCAGCACAGGCTTCACACATCAACCCCCCCCCTTTTTTTTCGATGCCTCTTATCGTGACTCTTCGACTCATTTGCTCTTCCTTCCTCCCAGACCTCTGCCGCCGGACGTTCAGGCACATAATCTGAGTCTGACGCTGCCGCTCTCTTCCTCGTGATGCACCTCTACATCCATGTTATATTCTGAGGTGTTCCTCACGATGTTCCTAAACCTCCACCACGCCTCGTTCCACAGCACACGGCGACAACTCACTCTTTACTACGTTGGCCATAACGCTGCTATGGTTTGATCATTACCATCCTTACAGGCAACGCCGTGCCTTCACAAGCTCAAAAGAACATCATCCTCTGAGCGGGCGGGCGTCAATGTCCTTACACTTCCTGATGCTCTTCCTCTAGAGCTGCGCCTCCTCCTGCACTTGCACTTCTGTACTTGTTCCCTTGTTAGTAACAGATCCTTTTGTTAACCATCACGCTTACCTCACACATGCCAGTCTCCTCTTTGGAAGCCTCACTCTTCCACTCCACAAGCGCCCAAGCCCTTGCCTTCGCGTGGGGCTTATCCAACAGCTATCACGCTGGTAACTAGGTAGCTTCACCAGTTTGTGTGGGCCCTCCTCAGCTTCACGCACTCTGCCGCCATATGGTCGTAACACCCCACATATTCTGCACGTACGTCTCTGTCAGCATACGATACCATAACTTGGTCCTGAAGTCTCCCAACACCGAGTAAGACAGTATGGGATGTCTCAGAGTCTCCATCTTCAGGGAAAAAGGTACCCTCCGGCGGCCCATGTATAGCACCTGCCGTCCACTTGCTTTGTTGCAGATGTAAAGTTCCATATGTCTCAAAAACACTCCTGATGGTCAGCCTCATCTGCCTCAAATGGGACATTATGTATCTTAACCCACTAAAGGGCGAGATAAGTCAATCAAATGCACTTCACAGCTGGAGTAGCGGTCAAGTCTCACGTCATTAGAATTCTCGTCACCAAAGACTCGTACAACGGACGTGGCCAACCCCCCCGTATGGACGAAGTTTCTGTAAGCCCCCATTTCAGGGCTGCACCATACACCTCATATGTACTGGATTTCATAGGTTCTCCTATTGATTGTTGGAGTAAGACTTGGGCTGAAGAGGGTGAAATCGCCCCACGGATGCAGCTCAATACCAATGGTATTTACGCGCCTCCCTTCACATCTCAGCGCCCATGTTGATACAAGGTTGCTCGCCTGAAAACAGCAGATGGGTGCAGAGCACACCGCAACTCTTACCGTGGTCAGGCAGATGAAGCTAAGTGTAAAAACATCAGGGTCAATGACCAGGAAGGGTACAGAGTACATAGGGCTGGGTGTTATGGCTGAGTTTGCTGGTCAGCCTGACTCGATGAGTAACTCGTAAATAACGATGTTATACGCTTCTTTCACTATAACTATAAATGTCACTGTATAAACTGTAAATCACATGTGAATATTTCTTACGATGTATAAATGTCATAACTGTTACTTTGTATTTGAAAGCCTTACATTTATATATTAAGTTCCTTTAAGATAACAGTATATCTTTAAGAAACAAACTTTTAACCACTTGTCTCTTAATTTCTGTCTAATAAAATTAGAAACACTATGTGTTATATACACTCAGACAACACTGAACATCGGTTGGGTTGGGTGTTATAGTCGCGATTTTCGAGATTGGAGCGTGGATGCAGGGGGTGCCATCCCCTGTTTTCTTGGGTGAGTCACCCAAGCTCCCGTTTTCTCTTGGGTGAACCGCTGGGTGAGCGCCCGTTTTTCTATTGGCCTGCCCATTCTCTGTGACTGAGTCCTGGAGGGATCATTTATACTGACTTTTAAATTAGTTAAAACACTAGTTTTACAGCTTTTTTCGAAGGACCTTTGGCTCGTAGGTTATTTGTACACTGTAGTACAACGTATTTGGCCTCAGTGTGCCTTTATCCGGTTTCGAGCACGACAAAAATGTTAGAAATGGGATTACTGTCTAGTTTAGATATAGGGAAACTTAACTTAGAAAGACAGCTCATCGCCTGCACAGCCGCCCGTGCAGACGACAGGTCTTGGGAAGCTGTCGAGTCATCTCCAATGGGCTGTAAATGAGTTATAATTTGTAAGATTATAAAAATTACCCCTAGGGGGTGTTATGTCAGCATATTTCATTCACTGATGGCTGACAAACTTAGTGTGTGAATCAATGGTCCGCAAATATTCACCGGGGATTATGATAAGTGACTAAAACTCACGATTTTATACTCAACTGCGCAGTCAATAGTAGCACATCACGAGTTAGAACACTTCCTGGGTATATGTAACTGACCCGTAATTACGCCCGGATTATCCGTTGAGTTTGATTGATGAAATAGTGTTCACTTGAAGAATGTCGTCACTACACTCTGTTGGATCACAAACACTCGCTTGTTACTCTGTTCATCAATAATTGTTACACAATATCACTGAAGAAGCTGATCACACTTCTCTGTAAGTGTGTATTGTGTTATTGTGAGACAACTTTGTTCACATCTAATGCACGATTGTTTCTTTGTTGATTATCCTGGCGTCAGTGTCACTCTCAGTAGAGTCAAAGTAATCTGAAGAGCCACATGCCCCACGCCATCACTGCCCCCAGCACAAAGGAAAAGCTGGACCTAGTACTTTGACTTCCTTGCACTTCCTCGATGAAGCCAAGCAGAATGTTTTAAATCCATGCTGTCATAAACATAGACACAATGTCCACTATCTCTTACTATGGTAATAAAGTGGGGAGCAGGATTTTCCTTATTGTCCTGCTAAGGTAAGAGATGTACTTCTCTTATTAAAATACACTCTGCAACACTGGACTGCAAGGAGCAGCGGTCGTTGACCACATCGCATTACTGTACTGCATCTGCGATCAATTACTAACTGTGCAGTAAACAAGTGCTTGCCCCTTCTGAGAGGGCTGGGCCCCTCGGGCTGAAAGGGATGAAAGGAGAGGCTGAAGGGGGCTGATACCCCTCCTTGGGGGGAAAAAGAAAATTTCCTCCACTCAGTGTGTGGTGTGAGTGATCGGACGGAAAAGGAGAGCAGGAGAGTATTATTTAGGCAGGACGTTGTAGTAGTAGTCGTTGTAGTAGTAGTAGTAGTGGAGGGGGAAGGAAGTAGTAGTGGGGATGGTTGTAAGAGGAGAGGAGGCCAGTAAATACTAAAAGGAGCACGCAAGGGGGCTAGGTGACCTATGTATTTCTTCTTCTTTTATTTATTTATTATTCCCCCCCCCTCGGTGTTCTTGCTCTTACCCTCTGTGGGCACCGCCTCCCTTGCAGTGCTCCTCTTTCTTAGTATTTGACTGGCTTCTCCTACTCTTACTACTTCCCCACTACTACTTCCTTCCACCTCCACTGCTACCACTACTACTACTACTACCACCTCCTGCCTATATATACCCATCCTTCTCTCCTTTTCGTTAGCGTGACTTTGTAAATGGTCCAAGTCGGACCGAAACGTCGTCGTAAGCTCCTCTCTTCTATGTGTTGGTTATTTGTGTAACACTGGTTACTGAGAGCGATGACCACTGCTTGAAAAATAAAATATCTTACCTGCATGGGTCCTGGTGGGTTCTTTAATGCTGGCAAAAGGCGATTGATCAAAGGAACTGAAGCTACCTATCGCTTCCCCGGATCAAACCTGATAACCTTCCATTTCCCATGAAAAATAATAAAAATAATCTCTATAAATAGTTCTGGTCCTCTGGGGTACCTTACCCTGTCTGCCTAGAGTAAACTACACTCTGGGGTACTTTACCCCTGCCTGCCTAGTGTAAACTACACTCTGGGGTACCTTACCCCTGCCTGCCGAGTGTAAACTTACTCAGATTTACTGAGGGGCATTTTCTCTATGGCTTCCTCCATGAACTTCTTGGAGTCGACCATGATCCTCTGGAAGTTAGCCAGGGCGTTGTCAGTCACTACCGTCCGTCGCTTCGACGACAGGCTGCTGCTGCCTTCTGTGTGTGTTGACCGCCTCTGTGGAAGTCATGTTATAACATCATACCTGTCAATAGGTCCCAGCACAATTCTGCATGAGGCCTGGTCGCGGACCAGATATTCAAAATTTTAAATAATCTGTTACTGAAATAAGAACTATTGAAAAAAAAAAACACAGGAAGTGAAAATAAAGTAACACTGAATGTGAACAGAATTTGTAAGATTTACCTATCGTACAGACAGTAAAGATTCGAGCCTCAGGGAGTAAAAGCCAGAGTGAAGAGTTGGTGTATCTCTCTATGTAACAATCCGTTGTACAAGAATGGTATACAATACCGACAAGATAAGATTAAGACACATGTGCAACATCTGGGTATCTTTATTGCAGACATTTCGCCATCCAGTGGCTTTATCAATACAAACTCCAGGACATAATTGAAGACAGAAGAACTATATACAGAAAATGAGGTAATCAGTCCCTCAGCTTTGGAGTTGGTGCAAAGAGCACCGTAGACGTGGATGTTCTGGAGTAGAGCAACAACAAAACACGGACTCTCAGGTAAGGACCCACGAGGGGCGAGAGGCAAGTGGGGATAGGGCGAAGAATAGACGGTGAGAGGAATGTCTTGAGTCGAAGAGAGAAGAGTCAGGATTAGACCCAACTGCTAAGCCTGGAAAACACTGACGAAGACGACGTAGAAGGCACTGGAACTCTGCAGAAGCTGACTGCATCTTGCTTGATGGAAGAATTGAGACTTGCTGGTGACAGGTGGCTGCAGGCGACAAGGGAGGAGTTTATCGTTGATTGGTCAGTTCACGGAGTTAAGTGGTTACTTCGAGTTGTGACGTTGTTTAGCGACAACTTCTAGTTCGTTGATATCAGATCCATTTACAAGACGTTTAAATCGTTGGATCAGGAGGATCACAAGACGTGTGAGCAAGTGTTGATGGCAGGGATGCTGAGAGCGTTCTTCAATGATCTCTAGGATAGTAGAAAGTGTAATTAAACCAGCACCTTTGAAAGTAGGATCGATGGTAAACTTGACAGTCTTGTTGGTAAGATGAGTGTACAGTTCAGATAACGGCATATCTTGACCGTAGCGAGCAGTGGAGAATAAGAATCTGCATCATCATCAGGAATTGTATCAAGTCGAGAGTCATAAGATGGTGTTGTTGGCACGGGTTTTGCCCTCTTGACAGGTGGTGATGAAGGTGGAGGTGAAGACTCGATGTCGGCTTCAGTACACGAGGAGGAAAATGTTGCTGGTGGCAAGGTCTCTGATTGGTGGGTTTTCATGGGGAGTGAGGTGGTAGAGGCTTTTCATTGGTTGTTGTTGGAGTGGCGTCACTAGTTGGTAGAGATGGTGGAGTTACTGAAGAAGCAGAGGTGGCGACTAAGTCTTTCGTGAACTTGAGAATATCTGCCGATGGTGGAGAAGCTGGAAATACAAACGATGGCATGTTGTTCAAGGCAAATATCTCGTTGATGGTGGTGTTGAAGGAGCCAGGTACTGCCATGTTCTGCATATGAGCATATAGTAGACAGTAGTGGATCTTTGTTATGTCACATGCTGGAGGAGTGACGGTGGTGGTGGAGGCGGGTTGAGTGGAAGCTTGATGGAGTTTTGTAGTATCTACCTGCAACTTTGCAATTGAAGCATAGGTTGGTGACTTGGAAGATGATTTTTTTCTGTGCTGCATCTTGAGTTTTCTTCATAATGTCCTTTCGAGTAGGACATTTTGCTGCAAGAGTGTGGTGATCGTTGCTTTTGCAGTTTAAACAAGTTGGTGGAGATGGAGCAGAGGCAGTACAGGAACTAAAAGTGTGGCCCTCACTACCACATATTGTGCAGTACTTCTCGTCTTTAACTGGACAGGTCTTGGTGTTGTGCAGATAAAAATAACAGTTCCACCAATGTTGGATGTAGTGAAATTTTTCAGCTTCGATGTAGGCGGGGCTGATGAAGTAATAGTACACAGCAAAACCTTCGTTCAGAGCAGTGGCTGCCATGTTCACATCAGTGAAGGTGACCTTGAGCATGGACGAAGCATTTGGGATTTTTTGTGATGCTTTCAACGGTGGCCCATGTATTTTGAATTTCAATAGATGACTTGAGTTCAGCAATTAGTAGCGAAGTGAGAATCTTGTCTAGTCTTTTCAGGAATACTGATCTCCTTGCCTTGAGAGCAGGAGAGGACATAACAGTAAATCCTTGAGCAGTAAGAGTAGTGGTGGCTTCAGTAGTATCTTCTCAGCTTCAGCATCATCGTGACACACGACAATGAAAGCTTCCTTGAGTGACAGAATAGCGTTGAATTTCACTTACAATCCACCCTGAACGGCAGTTGCAAGAGCAAGCTTCGATGAATCATCAACAGTACCACTGTTGGGCTTGATATTGACACGATTTGCATAGCTCATCGTGGTGCAAGTCAAGGATGGAGACGATGGTATAAGTTCCTCTCCCCAACGGGGATCGTAGGGAGACTGAATAAATAAGGAGAGATGCTTTGGCCTGCCGAAGCGAGTCAAAAGCCTTCCCCCTCCCCCCTCCCCCCATTGCTCTCTTGCTCTCTCTTGATGGAGCAGAGGCAAGGAGCCTGAAGCTTATATACTAACGTCAGGTGGAAAGGGGACGTGTAGCAGACGAGGGCATAGTCACATGTGTCTTAATTTCTTCATGTAACAATCCCCCGAATTCTGATTGCCCACAAACTCTTGTAAATTTTTCACTACCCTCCCTAGTTCCGGATCAAACCTATTCAACCATTAACACACCCTACCTTGCAGTGCCGTATGACCCTTGTGCGTTTAGCTCTTAGTTATGATTATAATAATAACTGTAAATTGACATCAAACGTAAACTATGAGACAGAACTGTTCTCCCGATATGCTAAAGTTATGTACACAAATTCTGAAAAAAAAAACAAGAATTTGGATAAAACTACTTTACAAATGTTATTATTTTTAAATTATAACCTTGATGACCGACCATTATGCAGATGTTAAGCAAGTCTCATAACACCTGCTGCCTTTGTACATGTAACAGTAAATAGGCAACTGGGTCATTAGCAGACTATTCTGTGTGGCATACTGGAGGGTAGTTAATGCATAAAGAAACTCTTAGTCTGTAAGTTAAACAGCTTCAAATATTAACACTAGTCAGTAAGACTGCGAGGCTAAAAGTGTATCTACACGCTTGGTTACTAAGGGTGCACTAACATTTAATAATTAAATTACTGGAAATAAAATTAAAGTAACCTCTCGTTATGGAAAATTGCACCTCGTGCATATATACTGAAATAAAAATTTATTGGGTTATATACTAGAATATATACTAGAGATTCATACCTCTGTGTATACAGAGATACATATATGGGAATGTAGTACTCGGGCTTGTTAACTGTAAGAAATCCTGTCGTCTTACCTTCTGGAGGATAGACCCCCTGGTCACTCCCTGTGGATACTGGACACTGCTGGTAATAGTCTTGGTAATGTCTCCCTCGTAGAAGTTGTTCAGCTCTGACAGATCTACCGGCTGAGTGATCGTTGGCTTGACCAACACAGGCTGACAGTAAGACACCTTCCTGTTGCTTGTTATCTGTGGGAAGGAGAGTAATGTTTAGTATGTGTAACTGTGTGTTGGAGGGTGAGGTGGTGTGTTAGGATGTGTGTTAGTGTGTGTTGGAGGGTTTGGTGATGTAACGATGTGTTAAAGGATAGGTGGTATGGTGCAGTGTGTTGTAATGTTTTACACCAGGCTGGACCTGGAAAAGTCTCGGACTTTGCAAACACACACACACACACAAAGATGCAGAACGGCAAAAACCAAGTATGCTAGGGAATGGAAGAAATATAGAAGGCAAAGGACCCAGGAGAATAAGGAGTGCAGTCGTAGAGCCAGAAATAAATATGCACAGATAAGAAGTGAGGCCCAACGACATTATGAAAACGACATAGCAGCGAAAGCCAAATCTGACCCGAAACTGTTATACAGCCACATCAGGAGGAAAACAACAGTCAAGGACCAGGTAACCAGGCTAAGGAAGGAAGGAGGAGAGACAACAAGAAATGACCGTGAAGTATGTGAGGAACTCAACAAGAGATTCAAAGAAGTGTTCACAGAGGAGATAGAAGGGGGCTCCAGAAAGACGGAGAGGTGGGGCACACCACCGAGTGCTGGACACAGTACACACAACCGAGGAAGAAGTGAAGAGGCTTCTGAGTGAGCTAGATACCTCAAAGGCAATGGGGCCGGATAACATCTCTCCATGGGTCCTGAGAGAGGGAGCAGAGGCACTATGTGTACCCCTAACAACAATATTCAATACATCTATCGAAACAGGGAGATTGCCTGAGACATGGAAGACAGCAAATGTAGTCCCAATCTTTAAAAAAGGAGACAGACATGAAGCATTAAACTACAGAACAGTGTCACTGACATGTAAAGTATGCAAAGTCATGGAGAAGATTATCAGGAGAAGAGTGGTGGAACACCTAGAAAGGAATGATCTCATCAACAGCAGCCAACATGGTTTTAGGGACGGGAAATCCTGTGTTACAAACCTACTGGAGTTCTATGACATGGTGACAGCAGTGAGACAAGAGAGAGAGGGGGATGGGTGGATTGCATTTTCTTGGACTGCAAGAAGGCGTTTGACACAGTTCCACACAAGAGATTAGTGCAAAACTGGAGGACCAAGCAGGGATAACAGGGAAGGCACTACAATGGATCAGGGAAATACTTGTCAGAAAGACAGCAGCAAGTCATGGTACGTGGCGAGGTGTCAGAGTGGGCACCTGTGACCAGCGGGGTCCCACAGGGGTCAGTCCTAGGACCAGTGCTGTTTCTGGTATTTGTGAACGACATGACGGAAGGAATAGACTCCGAAGTGTCCCTGTTTGCAGATGACGTGAAGTTGATGAGAAGAATTCATTCGATCGAAGACCAGGTAGAACTACAAAGGGATCTGGACAGGCTGCAGACCTGGTCCAGCAATTGGCTCCTGGAGTTCAACCCCACCAAGTGCAAAGTCATGAAGATTGGGGAAGGGCAAAGAAGACAGCAGACGGAGTACAGTCTAGGGGGCCAGAGACCACAAACCTCACTCAAGGAAAAAGATCTTGGGGTGAGTATAACACCAGGCACATCTCCTGAAGCGCACATCAACCAAATAACTGCTGCAGCACATGAGCGCCTAGCAAACCTCAGAACAGCATTCCGACATCTTAATAAGGAATCGTTCAGGACCCTGTACACCGTGTACGTTAGGCCCATATTGGAGTATGCGGCACCAGTTTGGAACCCACACCTAGCCAAGCACGTAAAGAAACTAGAGAAAGTGCAAAGGTTTGCAACAAGACTAGTCCCAGAGCTAAGAGGTATGTCCTACGAGGAGAGGTTAAGGGAAATCAACCTGACGACACTGGAGGACAGGAGAGATAGCGAGGACATGATAACGACATACAAAATACTGAGAGGAATTGACAAGGTGGACAAAGACAGGATGTTCCAGAGATGGGACGCAGCAACAAGGGGACACAGTTGGAAGTTGAAGACACAGATGAATCACAGGGATGTTAGGAAGTGTTTCTTCAGCCACAGAGTAGTCAGGAAGTGAAATAGTTTGGGAAGCGATGTAGTGGAGGCAGGATTCATACATAGCTTTAAGCAGAGGTATGATAAAGCTCACGTTTCAGGGAGAGTGACCTAGTAGCGACCAGTGAAGAGGCGGGGCCTGGAGCTAGTACTCGACCCCTGCAACCTCAACTAGATGAGTACAAACTAGGTGAATACACACACACACACATTGTGGAGAAATTTTCTCCAAGACGGGGTATCAGCCCGTTTCAGCCCTGAGCGACCCGACCCTCTCTGAAAGAGCAGTGGTGTCTTGCATCAACACTAATTGATTCCAGATGCGGTACTAGCGTGTGTCTATACCACGTCTTTGCCAGAGACCAGTGTTGCAAATAGTGTGGTTTAATGAGAGAAAATCGATCTCTTACCTTAGCAGGACAATTAAGGAAAATCCTGCTCCCACTTTGTTGTCATGTTAAAGATGTATATTGATGTCTATTCCAAGATTGAGGGAATCGAGCATTCTGCATTGCTTTATGGTGGAAGTTTGGCAAGCAGGCGAAATATGCTTTGTCGGCACTTGTGTGTGTCGGGAAGCAGGGCGCAGGGCACTGTGGCGTCTTCAGATTACTTTAAACCCAGCCATGGGAAACATTAACGCCGGGATAACTAACAAAGAACACTGATCCGCGCGTTTTTGTGCATAAAAGAATCTCAACGGACACAGCAGAACAATTACAGAGAAGTGTGATCAGCTTCTTTAGTGATATGACTGTGAACAATAGACAAATCTTGATGAGCAGTGTGTAAACAGCGAGTTTTGCAAATTTCCCGACAGAATGGAAGACAGTGCGACATTCTTCAAAGAGTCTGATAAATATGATGTTGGTTAGATCGGCTGCACAGTGGATATCTAATTCATGCCTTATTTGACAGTACCATCACCCAGTGACCCGCGGGCTTTTGAGCCCAAACCAGTACGTATAACTTCAGCAATCAGTTTCTGAGATATAAGAACATAAGAAAGAAAGAATACTGCAACAGGCCTACTGACCCATGCGGAGCAGGTCCATGACCCCCCCCCCAGATTAGCCCAATGACCCATCCCCCCGGATTAGCCCAATGACCCACCCAGTCTGGTCACCTCCACTCAAGGATGGAGCACGGCACCAGAAACAGCAGCACAAGCTAGTCAGGTCCAACTCACACACACCCACACCCACTCATGTATTTATCTAACCTATTTTTAAAACTACACAACTTTTTAACCTGAATAACTGTACTCGGGAGTTTGTTCCACTCATCCACAACTCTATTACCAAACCAGTGCTTTCTTATATCCTTCCTGAATCTGAATTTTTCCAACTTGAAACCATTGCTGCGAGTCCTGTCTTGGCTGGAAATTTTCAGCACGCTATTTACATCTCCTTTATTTATTCCTGTTTTCCACTTATACACCTCGATCATATCTCCCCTAATTCTACGCCTTTCGAGAGAGTGCAGATTCAGGGCCCTCAGTCTATCCTCATAGGGAAGATTTCTGATACATGGGATCATCTTTGTCATCCTCCTCTGTACGTTTTCCAGAGCATTTATATCCATTCTGTAATACTGTGACCAGAACTGAACAGCATAGTCTAAATGAGGCCTAACCAAGGATATATAGAGTTGAAGAACAACCTGAGGACTTCTATTATTTATACTTCTAGATATGAAGCCAAGAATTCTGTTAGCTTATTGCGAACACTAATGCACTGTTGTCTTGGTTTTAGATTACTGCTAACCAGAACTCCTAAATCCTTTTCGCAATCAGTAGTAGTATTAAGATCTACATTATTTAGTTTATATGCGGCATGGTTATTTTCCTGTCCAACATTTAGAACTTTGCATTTGTCTATATTAAACTGCATCTGCCACTTCTCCGACCATTGCATCAGACTATTCAAATCATCCTGGATTGCTCTAGTGTCCTCATTAGAATGAATTGGACGGCCTATTTTGGTGTCATCAGCAAATTTTTCTTATGTCGCTATTTTTTTCCCTCATCTATGTCGTTTATGTAAATTGTGAAAAACAAGGGGCCCAACCCCGCCCCCTGTGGAACACTGTTTACTTCCCCCTTCTGATTTCCCCCTTTTATCAAATCTCTTCTGCCTTTTTTGTCACCATGCCTCTCCCCAGGAAAAAATTTTCCCCCATTCCGGGGGTGCCTTAAGTTTCCTCAATAGCCCCTGGTGTGGAACTCTATCGAAAAACCTTACTGAAGTCCATAAACACAAATCGACATTACCATGACTCCTTTCTCAAACCCCTTTTAGTGAAAAAATTGTAAATCGTAAGACAGGAACCCCCTTTGTAAAACCGGTTGAGAATCATTAATCAGTCTGCCTGTAAAAGATGGTACAATTGCTTGGGCAATTACTGATTCCTAATTTTCCCACTTGGGGGTTAAGGCTTATTGGTCTATATTCGGACCCAAGGGACCTGTCATCTCCCTTTAATGGGGTATTACTTTTGCCAATTTCCACTTATTAGGCACATGCCCAGTTTGTAGTGATATGTTAAAAAGAAGTCAAAGGTAGCTAAGTTCCTCTTTACATTCCTTTAACACCCTTGAAACAGTTCATCAGGCCTTTGGATTTGTTAGGTTAGTTCTCATTTTCTGAGGACCCTGTCAAGTTACCGCAATCGTACTAGTTTTTATCCTTTCTACATAACTATTATTTCAGGAAAATCGCAGTTTTTTTCCCGGGGGAAAAAATAAAGGGAAATAGGCATTTAAATTCACACAAAAATTTACGTCAGGACTGACCAAGTTACTCTTAATGGGCCAAACTTTTCCCTAATCTTTTTGTATACCTGAAAAAGAACCCTTTTTTTGGGGTTTGTCTTTGAATCCCTTGCGATCTTAGCCTCACAACCCTTTTTTCTTTTCTTATTCCTTTCTTTATTTTTCCTTTAACTGAATAATTGATTTCTTTAAATTCCCATCCCCTCTTTTGATACCCTTACAAAAGAATTTTTTTAATCTATTTTTCATCCCTTTTGGGATCATTTTTGTTAGATCTAATTTCCCCACTCGGAAAAAAGTTTTCTGGGCAGCTAGAACTATGCTCTGAAAAACTCATATTGGCAACCAAGATCCCTACTGACCCATAGTCAGGACATCCCAAATTAGCCCACCCAGGTAATTTTTTAGTCCCAGGAATCCCAAGCGAAAATCTGGACAGAGTTTTTATTGCAGTTTTCGGGGTAAATTTCCCAAAAATATTTAAAAAAGTGATTTGTGTCACTTTCCCCCCAAATCTATTAAACCCCAAGATTATTAATTTTTGAATCTTTGTTTGGGAAAAACCAAGTAAACAATTGTTTTTCCCCTTTGGTTCCACACAAACCTGTTCTAAAAAGCAATCCTGAACCGTATCAAGAAAGTCACTAGACTCAAGATTTCCTGTCATATTGCTCCAATCAATTTGTCTAAAGTTAAAATCTCCCATTATCACAACATTTTCATATCTAGATGCCTTATGAATTTCGTCCCATAACAGCTTACTGCACTCTCTATCAAGGTTTGGGGGCCTATAAATCGCACCCAAAATTAATTTGTCACGTCCCTCGAGAAACTGTAGCCAAACATATTCTGTGTTTGATGTTTCTAATCTTATATCATGTCTAAAACAACAATTTAAATTTTCTCTGACATGCATCGCCACTCCACCACCCTTCCTGTTGACCCTATCAGTGTGGAATAGTTTATAACCCTGTATGCTGCATTCAGAAGGCATTTCTCTATCTTTCAGGTTGAACCAGGTCTTTATTATACCAATAATATATATGCTAAATAACACCCCGTAGGGGTAATTATATTTATAATTAATTGTCCCTTACAGCTTCCGTGGTTGTGGAACAACTGTTTCACATCAAAGGTACCTACAGGTAGAAGGTGCGGTAGGCAGAGACAGCGACAAAGCTAAGTATCCTCATTGTTGATACTAAGTTAATGTTTTGTTCTACAAATCTGACTATAATTTAGTGAGATAATTACACCATACACAAACATACCCATACACAATACACAATACAAAGTTAAATTTACCTTTTTCTTAGGGATGATAAGAAAGGTCTCTATACCCTCCTCCTGCAGAAGTTGATCTTTCTGCTGTGCATCGGTAGGTTCAAACTCGTAGTCGAGGCCAAATAGAAGCTCCCGTGTGTTCTGTGTCACGTGAACTCGACTGTGAAATAATACAGTGACAATAAGAACATGACAGTCTATAATAGTAGGGGTTGAGCTGATTCCTGTATACAGGTCTGTGTCACTCCTCCACTCCGTCAAGACTCTGGTCTGGACAAGGTACTCTAGAGTACACATTATGCGGTAAAATCTGCTTTTCATAACAGTAAGGTCATTTGTTACTACCTAAACCATAATATAACATTCTCTTAGAATTAATCGTGTTTAAATCGTTCTTAAATTCTAAATTTTAATTACACTCCATTAATAATTGCAAAACAGTGTCTGGAAAAAGCTTGCACTGAAATAAACAGACGTAACTTTTCTCTAAAAATGTACATCTTGCCGTTAATCTGAACTAGCAGCAGAAGAATTAACTCTGATTACTAAACCAGGAGTGTTAGCAACCCAGGATATCCCATGAAAGTCAAGTAGTGAAGCTTTTTTTTTTTGACTGGGTCCTTAGGTTCTCGTTTATGATGTAGCAAGCAACGGTCGACTAAGTCCTAGGTGCTGCTTTACTGTTATGAGAACAAGATAAGAGACAACAGTGAAGCTGTGCTACAAGACGAGCCAGCAGCGGTACTCCCCTCTCCACCAAACTCACCTCACATTTAAACAAATCTCTTATTATTACACCCCACATTTATTAGTTTCTTGCTTTAAAAGTGCTCCTGCGAATAGCCACAAGACTAATTATTTACCGAATGTCATTCCAATCTATCTAAAAGCCTATTTAGTCTATTATAGACTGAGCCTCACTATCCTCATAAAAACTCTTTACAGCATTTAGTAACTTACCACCTATTCCATACACTTGCAACATCTGCCACATTGCTCCCCTATCCACTCTATCATATGCCTTTTCTAAATTCATAAATGCAAGGAAAACATCCCTACCTTTATCTAAATATTGTTCACATATATGCTTCAATGTAAACACTTGATCTACACATCCTCTACCCACTCTAAAACCTCCTTGTTTATCTACAACCCTATTCTCTGTCTTCCCTCTAATTCTATAACCCTACCATGCATTTTACATGGCATACTTAGTAAATGTATTCCCCTATCATTTTTACAATCTCTTTTGTTCGTTTTCCCATATATAGAGAAATTATACACGCTTGTTGCCAGTCCCTAGGTACCTTTCCTTCTTGCAAACATTTATTAAACAAATGTACCAACCACTCCAACTCTATATCCCCTGCTTTTAACATTTCTGTCATGATCCCATCAGTTCCAGCTGCCTTACCACCTTTCATTCTACGTAATGCCTCACGCCCCTCCCCCACACTCATATCCTGCTCTTCTTCACTCCTAAGAGATGTTATACCTCCCTGGCCAATGCATGAAATTACTGCCTCCCTCTCTTCATCAACATTTAACAGTTCCTCAAAATATTCCCACCATCTTCCCAATACCTCCGACTCCCCATCTACTAACTTCCCTATTCTGTTTTTAACTGTCAAATCCATTCTTTCCCTAGGCTTTCTTAACCTGTTTATCTCACTCCAAATTTTTTTCTTATTCTCAGCAAAATTTGTTGACAGTGCCTCTCCCACTCTATCATCTGCTCTCCTTTAACACTCCCTCACCACTCTCTTCACCTTTCTTTTACTCTCTATATACTCCATCCTTCTTATCTCGCTTCTGCTCTGCAAAAATCTCTCATACACGTCAATAATTCAAATTTATAAATAAAAAGCTTTTAAATTAAAGATATCTTAACTAGGTAATACGTAGATGTGAGGAAAGAGATGAAGAATCAGACATTATGCTTCAGAAAATGTATAAATTTCAAACCATAATAATCATACATGATGCAAATGTTTCTGATAGTCTTATTCCACATGTTAATAACAGGAATATAACTCACCTAACCTTAACTCAATATTCCTTATATTATGATAAACACACATCGCAGGACCAGCTTTTCTTAAGACATTGTTTCACTCTGTGTACAGCATAAAGGTTTTGCTTTATAACAAACTGGTCATCTCCCACCGAGGAAGGGTGACCCAATAAAGAAGAAACACTTTCACAATCACTCACTCCATCCTTGCCCGAGGCGCGCCGATAATACAGTTCAACACTGCAAATATCCCCACCCCTCCCCCAGAGTGCAGCCACTATACCTCTCACCTCCGGGACTCAAGTTCGGCTAACCGGATCTCACAAAAAAGTATTTAATTCCTGTACTTCATATCATCAGGACCCAGCAAGGTCCACACACTCACCAGTGGAGACTGACTCCTACCAGGAGCTGCGAAATGGATATGACAACGGTAGTTCCATGTCCCTAAGTCGTAAGTTAATAGTCGAGAATAATAGCTAGAATTTTGATCCATATAAAGTGAGGTAGGTAATTACTCACCCAGCCACTCCTGTCTGCTCCATGTGGTTGGCGATGGTTACATCGTTGCTCCACACATCGAACTGCCATTTACGAACGCCGATGAGGCCTGACAAGACACTACCGCTGTGGATGCCTATCCTCATGTCCACCTGCACACCTCTGTCCTCCCTGCACGGTGATGATAATATAGTGTGAGAGAAACATAAACAAAAGTCTTTGGTCTCACGCAGTTGTGCTCATTTTTTTAACACACCGGCTGTATCCCACCGAGGCAGGGTAACCTAAAGGTTATGTAGATGTTCTCTGAACCAAGACTCCATGATGTTGCAGTGTCTTGGTTCAGAGGATATCTACATAACCTTGTATATAGTTTTATTGTCTTCTAGTTATGTCCTAGAATCTGTATTGATAAAGACACTGGATGGCGAAACGTCTACAATTAAAGATACCCAGATGTCGCACTTGTGTCTAATTTTCATCTTGTCGGTACTGTATACCATTCATGTACCTCTTACAGTGTTGCAGTGGTCTCTCACAGAGTACACTATGATCTCTCACAGTGTACACTATGGTCTCTCACAGTAAACACTATGGTCTCTCATAGTGTACACTATGGTCTCTCACAGTGTACACTATGGTCTCTCATAGTGTACACTATGGTCTCTCACAGTGTACACTATGGTCTCTCATAGTGTACACTATGGTCTCTCACAGTGTACACTATGGTCTCTCATAGTGTACACTATGGTCTCTCACAGTGTACACTATGGTCTCTCATAGTGTACACTATGGTCTCTCACAGTGTACACTATGGTCTCTCGTAGTGTACACTATGGTCTCTCACAGTGTACACTATGGTCTCTCATAGTGTACACTATGGTCTCTCACAGTGTACACTATGGTCTCTCACAGTGTACACTATGGTCTCTCGTAGTGTACACTATGGTCTCTCACAGTGTACACTATGGTCTCTCATAGTGTACACTATGGTCTCTCACAGTGTACACTATGGTCTCTCACAGTGTACACTATGGTCTCTCACAGTGTACACTATGGTCTCTCACAGTGTACACTATGGTCTCTCATAGTGTACACTATGGTCTCTCATAGTGTACACTATGGTCTCTCATAGTGTACACTATGGTCTCTCATAGTGTACACTATGGTCTCTCATAGTGTACACTATGGTCTCTCACAGTGTACAATACGGTCTCTCACAGCATACACTATGGTCCCTCATAGTGTACACTATGGTCTCTCACAGTGTACACTATGGTCTCTCATAGTGTACACTATGGTCTCTCACAGTGTACACTATGGTCTCTCACAGTGTACACTATGGTCTCTCACAGTGTACACTATGGTCTCTCATAGTGTACACTATGGTCTCTCACAGTGTACACTATGGTCTCTCATAGTGTACACTATGGTCTCTCACAGTGTACACTATGGCCTCTCACAGTGTACACTATGGTCTCTCACAGTGTACACTATGGCCTCTCACAGTGTACACTATGGTCTCTCACAGTGTACACTATGGTCTCTCACGGTGTACACTATGGTCTCTCATAGTGTACACTATGGTCTCTCACAGTGTACACTATGGTCTCTCATAGGGTACACTATGGTCTCTCACAGTGTACACTATGGTCTCTCACAGTGTACACTATGGTCTCTCACAGTGTACACTATGGTCTCTCATAGTGTACACTATGGTCTCTCACAGTGTACACTATGGTCTCTCACAGTGTACACTATGGTCTCTCATAGTGTACACTATGGTCTCTCACAGTGTACACTATGGTCTCTCACAGTGTACACTATGGTCTCTCACAGTGTACACTATGGTCTCCCACAGTGTACACTATGGTCTCTCACAGTGTAAACTATGGTCTCCCATAGTGTACACTATGGTCTCTCACAGTGTACACTATGGTCTCTCACAGTGTACACTATGGTCTCTCACAGTGTACACTATGGTCTCTCATAGTGTACACTATGGTCTCTCATAGTGTACACTATTGTCTCTCATAGTGTACACTATGGTCTCTCATAGTGTACACTATGGTCTCTCATAGTGTTGCAGTGGTCTCTCATAGTGTACACTATGGTCTCTCACAGTGTACACTATGGTCTCTCACAGTATACACTATGATCTCTCATAGTGTACACTATGGTCTCTCATAGTGTACACTATGGTCTCTCATAGTGCTGCAGTGGTCTCTCATAGTGTACACTATGGTCTCTAATAGTGTACACTATGGTCTCTCATAGTGTACACTATGGTCTCTCACAGTGTACACTATCGTCTCATAGTGTACACTATGGTCTCTCATAGTGTACACTATAGTCTCTCACAGTGTACACTATGGTCTCTCATAGTGTTGCAGTGGTCTCTCAGAGTGCACACTATGGTCTCTCATAGTGTACACTATGGTCTCTCACAGTGTACACTATGGTCTCTCATAGTGTACACTATGGTCTCTCACAGTGTACACTATGGTCTCTCATAGTGTTGCAGTGGTCTCTCAGAGTGCACACTATGGTCTCTCATAGTGTACACTATGGTCTCTCATAGTGTACACTATGGTCTCTCATATTGTACACTATGGTCTCTCACAGTGTACACTATGGTCTCTCATGGTGTACATTATGGTCTCTTATACTGTACACTATGGTCTCTCATAGTGTACATTATGGTCTCTCATA